CGGAAGGACAGGCTCACAAATGGAGCACGGTTAATCCTATATTACAGAAGCGACTTACAGTGCGAAGCCGTGGATGATTCAAGCTCGCAGTTCCCGACTTTCTTTGGTGCTGCTTACAGTTAAAAGGCTGGGATGCGTGCCCTATTGTCTTGGTGTACCGCCCAACTCTACACCCGAAAACGACTACCATGGAGTAGCTGCTCTAAGATGCAGTTTACAACGAAGTACTAATACTTATCTGGGTGATTTCAACGTACATTGATAGGAACTCCTGCGACCATCGGAGAAGACTTCAATGCCGATCTACAAGGTTTCGTAACCACTGTTCCTCGTTACAATCACATCATTTTGCCCACTCGGTCCAGAGCAGGTAACAGGCCATCTGTGCTGGATTTTGTGCTTGATAACAAGGAGCATATGATAGTTGTGTTGGTTGTAGACTGCCCGTTGGGTCGCACTGATCACGCATTCATCAGTTTCAACTTCGTCTGCCATGCAGAATATCGGAATGAGAAAGATGAGACTGTGCGAACCATCACAAGCTACGATCGATTAGCCCAGCTCGTCAGCGCCACAACTTGGTCTTTCCTTGACGAAGAACCCCCGGAAGTCGCCTGGCTCGAGTTCGTCAACAAATTCAGTCAGCTGATTGCAGAGGCTTCAGAGATAAAAGTTTGCAATAAGTGTAACTCAGTTTCTTACGTTAGGAGCATAACTCGAAAATGGATGACAGTACGCAACGCAGCATGGCGAGTGCACAGAGAAGCTCCAGCACCAGAAACTTGGAACAACTACCTAGCCCAACATAACCACTGCACACAACTGCTAAGAGAAGACAAAGCCGCATATCAGCACAATATAGCATAAACCAGTGCTAACCACAAACTGCTGTACAAGCACGTCAATAGCCTACAAAAGGTGAGGCAAGGATTTCCTTCACTCAGGACGGCTGATGGCCTAACCAGAACGGCTGTGGAAGCAGCAAACGCATTGCGGATGCAATATGCCCCCACGTTTCGAAGGGTCTTGCCACCAGGCGATCAACCAACCTTTGTCGTCTCCTCGCCAGGATTAACCCACATCACTTTTATCGCGGAGACTGTATTGCAAAAGCTGACCTCTCTACGCAAACACGGCTTTCCGGGTGTCGACACCATTCATCCAACAGCAGGACCTTTAGCTCAGTTTTTCAGCGCTGCTTAGACCAGAATCAAGTTCTCGCTATGTGGAAGCTTGGGATAATAACTCCGCTTCACAAAGGTGGTAGCGGAACTGATTCCTCAAGCTACTGCGCGGTATCCCTTCTTCCTATACTCTCCAAGGTCATGAAATGCATATTTGCCGATGCACTGGTGTGCTATCTGGAAAACTGTAGCATTATCACGCCTGAGGAGCACGGTTTCCGTCGACAGTGGTCATGTAGAACGAATTTACTGATCGCACGTAGTAGTTGGACCGAGGCAGCTGACGCTGGAGAAGGCGTTGATCTGACCTACCTAGATTTTTCGAAGACCTCCGATCGTCTAGACCATAGTATACTGCTCTCCAAGCTCCAGCATTACGGGATCGGCGACCCTACTTTGAGCTGGATTGCCAACTTTTTACTTCAACGAGATTTAGTGGTCAGAGTCCGGAGCTCTTTAGCGGGCCCCATACAAGTCGAGCGTGGTGTGCCGCAAGTCTCAATTCTAGATCCACGTTTGCTTTTGGTGTTTATTAATGACCTTGCACAGGGATTCGCTTTAAACTTCCTAATGTTTGCCGACGATATCAAAATCTGGCGCAGGATCCAGGCGAATGCCAGCCAACATGTGCCTCATAATGACCTAGATAAGGTGTATCAATGGTCAACCCAAAACTTCCTGCATTTCAACTTCAGTAAATTCAAAGTGCTTTCCATCCGACATCAGAACAACTACTCATACAGGCTCGGAAGGAATATACTACAACGATCAACCCTCGAACATAAATTCGGTATCCTGGTTCATGATGGCTTGGGTTGCTCCAGGTAATCCCAAAGGCCTCAAAAATTGGGAACCAACACGTCGGGCTGTTGCGTAGGGCGTTTGGACAAATAATCAGCTCCATATTTCGACAAATGCCCAGTGCGTAGGTTCACCTCCATGTCGAATACGCAATTCAAGCCTGGAATCCGTGGCTGAAGCGCGACGTTAATGCACCTGAGCAGCCACAACGTCGGGCATCTAAAAACGTAATTGAAATTCGAAATCTTTCATACCAGAAGAGGCTGCAACGATTGGGGGTATTCAGTGGAAGCTTTCGCAGACTAGGAGGCGAGCTGATTTTGACATACTTGATTCTGCAAGACCCACATCATATGTGCCGCCCATTACTGCAACTCAGCAGCAATACAAACCTGAGGGGTCACTCATTGAAACTCGCTGTACACTATTGAATCCTGAAGTGCCACCGAAATTTCTTTTCCATTAGTGTCTGTCACTCGGGGGAAGCTCTCCTAGAATCGATCGTCTCTGCACCGACACCAGCAGTATTTAAAAGACGGTTGGATGATGCATTCATCGACTTACACTTTGTCACTTAGCATTACGTCTCCATCCTACACCTGGAGTTTACCATGGAATTATTTGACGTTAACTGTGGGTGCTGTGAATCTAAGCAGATTGCAGGACTACGGCGGAGCAAACGATAAGTCCTAATTTTCATATTTGAAGTACTAACTGTTTTACTGTCATTATTATCATTATTGTTATATCCTCACCAACCATCCAATGGGACCCGTAAAGAAATCTTTCTCAACCCCTATAACTTCACACAGTATGCAATATCGTACTGACTATGCTATGATCAATTAACTGGCCATTCAAATTCAAAGCTCAGCGTCCAGTGGACGGTATACAATGTCTACGCTTGCAACGTCGCCCCCTTAAATCGACCAACACAAAAATCTCTGAACCAAATCTGATAACAGAGGTGTTGTGTCTTTGTTTTGTGTCAAGCGACAGTTTTGACGTATGTGACAGCCGAGTGACAACACTGCGTTACACTGATGGTTCCCAAGGCACCATAAAACGTTCTGATAAGCTGGAAGCCATTCACTAGTTAATCACTTGTTCTTTGAACAACCTGCTCTCTTTCATTAGGCAGCGTTTTTAAAATGGGTCCGTGTCAACACATCTCCTGTCAACCACCATCTGTTTCTCTTATCTCTGATTCTTGACCTATGGGTGGTTGAGACAAATTGAAATATATCATCGTCTTCCTTCCTTGAGCTACAACAGCCTTAGTTTACCCACTGTCTTGTAGAAGGAAAACTTGTGTAGCAGCATGTAACCTTTGATTCGCGGCTTTGGAATAAGTCGCATCATCAGTAACATATAAGTTTTGAATTTCAACAATTCACTAGCCTACAAAATTTGTAACAGATGGTTAGTGCAACAAACTGTTTTCAGGAAGATGGTCCTGTTTTCGATTGAAAAGCGTGGTTTCCCACAAGCAACTGTGTGTTTCCCTGTCCCCATCACTTCGTCAGCCGTCATAGTATTATTCTGTCATAAACTTTAAAATATATATACAGGTAGCGAAATGACACAAATTTATCTTTAGCGTATGATGGATACATGTGGCTACATAGTTTGCGTCCGCTATGCAGTTCATTTTGACTTAAACTTTGGTTACTATCTGGCTAACCTACTCTGACTTAAACTATAGGATTGTAATAATCACCGACTTGTGAATAAGGTGTAGGGGAGCGGGTCATTACCGTAGTTGCTTACTTCACCGGCACAAATGATTAATTGAGTGTAGCCTGCTGATTTACTCTAATGCGTAATATGCCACGGCACGCGATGCACAACCATCACAGCGCAAAGGAGCTCAAAATGAACGGTGGCAACGTATGCTAAGTATGTGATAGACAAGAACATGGTCTCAATACTTGACTATTGAAAAAGAGAATATGACCATTTAATTAATCACTGAATACCGTCGAGTAGAATCTACCAACGGTATGACTGCAGATGAGTGATTCATCTTTCCATTCACTAATTTGTACTTCTTGGAGACTTGAGGTAACAGCATTGCTTTTTATGCAAAAATGCAATCGGCTAATCAATTCAAGCGTTTCGCGGTGACAGTGATCAGCTGGCACTGTACTTCAAGCCTAACAACGCGCAAGGGGAAAAACTGAATATATTGCGCTGAAAAAAATCTGTGTTTAGACATCGTGTTGCAAGTATGTTTCAGTCAAAAGTTAGTTTAAGTAAAGCACTTTTTGATGAATATCTTACTGATTTATCTCATAAACTGCTTAACTTTAACATCTTCAAGTCACCGATTTTGCTAGTGTGAAACCCTTGATTACCGTAGGCACACTGACTTAACTTCGAAAACTGTCCTTGCCCACGAGGATCGACTTTGACGTGTGTTAACCAATCAAAAACATCCTCCCATCAGGACTGTTTGTCTGGCAACGATAGAAAGCAATTTCAGCTGGGTCTTTATGTGCTTTTGTAGCACTAGATATAGATGATTAAACTATCCATTCTGATATTGAATCGCCTACAAAGCACTGCACAAGCGGCAATGGGAATTGTGGTCAGAGCCAATCATGCAATGGCATTGTTATATGTGCCTGTTAACCATATAAAACCAATTACACTGCAGCTCGCTTCCATTGGTGCAGTGGGTGGCAGACTGCAATCACTGGAGTGCTTATAAGACATAAGCAAGAAAAACCATACACATCAAAAGATTCTGCTAAAAGCGCAAGCAGGTAATTGGGACATATATTCTCATACTCCATCTAATTGCCTAATTTCACCAACAATCATGTGTGGTACCCAATAATTCGAATTCGTTGCTAAGTTCTTCATCTCTGACTAATTTTTTTCACCGCTGCATACAGAACAATGATACTTTTAAAACAGCTCGACAACATTTATTCTATGGTGTCATTTAACAGATATTCATAAAAATTTTGATATGGATGTTCTTTCCTCTCTCATTTTATGTCTTTTGAGGTTGGGTCACGAAGAAACCTGCATATTTGCACATCACCGTGTTCGCTACACGATCCATTCATAGCAGCGCCTCATTTCCCGCTTGGTGGACGACGAAGAAAAGGCTTTTACTGGAAGAGGATATTATCCTTTTACCAGCCATAGATGAGGTTGAACAACTCCAAAGGAGTAATAAATTTTCCACGGGACGCACATCTTTCACCCTTCGCTTTGTTGCACAACTGAGACTGTCGACCATATTAACCGATCAGCTTCAACATATTCACATAGTTTTACGCGACTGCCAGAGAACAAGAAGAGCACGCGTTACCCTGCAAATAGACAGAAAACTTCAATGTAATACCACAATTGGAAACTTGTCAACGGTGGCCGAATTGAAACCAGTACACCTGTTTTTCACTCTGAGGATGATAAAGACCGACAAGTTTCATGCACCCTTCATTTTGAGTTGTATACTCACCGTGTCAGCACATATCGTGTTACTTATCGTGTACTCCTTTGGCCGAATATGTGCCAGGACGAACCGGGTTAGAAATGATGAAAGTAGTATGCGCTCAACTGGGGAAACTCATTTGGGCAACATTTACTACTCAACGAACCTGTTGAGTAGTGCGTCCGGTTTCTCTTCCCATCGGCCTGTGCACATGACCGGAACGCGCAAGGCGCTGCTTATGATCTACTTGTGCTTTCGTGTGTTCTACACCTTTCTTTTCACAACCAGCGTTGGATTGGCTCTCTTGCTCAGCACTGAATCCAACGCAGCTCGAGAGTTTACTGCCGTTATTCACAATAAATTATCACAAGCCAGAACGTCTGAATCTCATCAGAAACCTGCAGAACAAACCTTAAATTCGAAATATCACGCCATCACTTCATACCAAATGGAACGTCAACAACTTGGTACCAATCACTGGGTGGCTGAGGTAATGAAAATGGAGCAGTTTGCTCACTCTGAACTGACAAAACAGGTAAGCTTATCGCCTGAATTTATCCGATCACAGTGTTGTCATCCAGTGACCTCGCCGCAAAATGTTTGAGAATGTGTTTTATCGCTTTAATACGTAACGGCGTTACTTTGCTTTCAAAGTGGACTTCAACTTGGGGCCCTCCAATCAATCTGTTTTCTTGTTTCAGTCTTAGAACACCATAGAATCACAAAGTGATTTACGTTAGTCTAAGAATCCAATTTCAGATATGTCTGTCTCGATTAAGATTTCTAATCATATCAACTAAACTGTTTGGTTGTGTACAGTGTTTGGTGGGATTGGCACAGCAAGCCGCATAACAAGTATTCTGCCTAACGCATTGCCTCTCCGGGTTGATGAATCTTGAAGCTTAGTCTGTTGATATGACCCATTTGGTTGGACTAGTACATCTCCAAGTCGTGTGTAAACTAGGTACCAAATAACAACTCGGTTACCATTATTGCTTTACCATGAAGGTTTTGATCTTTTGCTGGTTAAATTTCTATCCTAAGTCCCAAATAGTTATTAAGTCTAATTAACAAGCGTCAATGCATAAGTCTAAAATTAGTTGCATTCCGTTGCCATCAAAACCGACTCAGTGGGTCTCAGGAACACGCTGGTTACAATAAATGCATCAGTGTGGTCTAAGTGTTGGTTTAAGATTAGATAAAGCAGATGGTTTAGCCTATGACAGATATCATTAGAATAAACGAAACATGGTTCTAAATTTAAGAGCCAACTGCTTAATAAATGTGGAGATGAAACGATACTCATTAATGTCCGAGTTGCATAGTATTTGGTAGCATGCTAGCCTACCGCTCGTGTTTTGTAATGCACGATTATCGATTTATCCAGGCAGTTGCAACTTGTCTATAGTTTTCCATTTAATAGGAGGATATACGCTGCGGTGACCGACATATTTTCTAAGAATGGTTGATGTTTATCTCCGTTAGTTAATACGTACTCTGTGCATCAAACCTGTGAAGATCATGTGAGGAATTTTGGCGCTAAATTACATCGAGGTACCAAATACAAACTGACTATCCTAAGACTCTTTACCATTACTAAGTCAGAGCGCAATTATAATGCCGGGTTGGTATAAACGGGATTCCTTATCACCAGTGAGCAATGCACCAGCTCGGATTGCCCAAATTGTTAGCTTGCTGGTGCACATCTTGCGCCCGTTACCAGTTTCCGTGGAACGCTGGGAAAACCGTTGTGAATATAGCAACTAGCAATCTGTCTGCATATTCTCACGAGAGTGCCATATGTTTCATGACCCTAAGGGTGGCAAAGCTTCTATACCCGCTAGTTAATAAATCTGTCAAACTGACACCTACATCCAACGCTTAGCATCTGTGCAGCAAAGTGCATTGTTTCCCATTCCATTAATTCAGCGACAAACGCAAACATACCTTATTGGTGGCAGTAGATATACAACTATGTGTGAATCGTGCAAGGCGCAGTGCGTTATAGGGCAAGATCCTTTCGATACATAGGAACCCCGACTCAACGGGAGATACAAAGTTAAGATATACAGCCAAGAATTGGTAGCTTTCCATTCACTTGATGCCGTGGTGTAAAATAGTAACCTCTACATCCTCCACTTTGATGACGGTCCCCGTGATCGCAGTGTTAGAGGCTGACTTGAAAGCCAACCGAAATCATAAGTAAAATTGCGTGCACAATTCAAAACACATGGCGGTTGCTCAAAAATCAGACACTTAGCTGTTGTAACACTTATCTGTGGAAATTCTGCCACAAATTAGATAATGACTAAATATAGACAAACAGTCAATATCTTCGTGTTCAGGGTAGTATCACGGTAGGTCCTGCAGCCGTTTTATCCTGGTATTACTAGCTGCTAATATACTAGTAAGGGTATGCAAGCCAATATCTTTTGTTCGGTGTTATTCATTGATTTCTCCTGGAGATAAGGCAGGATTTTGATATCATTGTCCTGTCAAGCGGATCTTAATAATTCTCTGTGTCAGTACATTTGAATGGCCACAGCTCGTCTAAAGGAAAAGATAGCGCTCAATGTCTGTGCGTTACTTATATCTGAATGCCTCCTAGCAGTGTCTTCATTGGTATCCGATTGTGTAGGGCAGATTTTAGCTAAATAATCTTTAATCCATTGACTAGGAACATCACAAGTTTGTCATTAGACAACGAGAAAACTTGAGGCTATCTTCTAAACGTTGAACATGTTGAAGTGAGTCCCAGATTCATACTGGCACGCTGAACCATCCAGTCAACATCTTTCAGCGTTCTGTTTTTAAACATCTACTTTGGAAGGATAAGGATTACGTATACTATTCCACTACAGTTTCACGGCTGTTGTGTGTGAAAAAAATGTTCAGTGGCTCTTGGTACTTCCTTTCGGCCAAAGAATAATGACGGCATAAACGAAACGATGGAAGATTATGGCAGGGGAAAATAAAGGCGCCAAAGAACGGATCGGTTTCTTTATTGAGGTTTGCTTTGTTATGTGAGTGGGATTCTACGGCATCTATGTAACTAAAGTTTTGTTAATGAACCTAAGGATTTGATGAAAGTGGACGATTAATAGAACGTGCAAAGCTCAGTGAGCTTCCCAATTTTCAATCATTCTTGTAGAGTTGAGAATTAACGCTGTGTCACCAGTCTGCATCGTTACGCAAAGTACAGTTTCGTGGTTAGGTTCTTGCTGATACAAAATAAACCATCTTATGAAATTTTGAACTGAACGAAAGCAATAATTTCTTCACTATCTGTAATTTGTGGTGAATTGAAGTCTACATCACCATCGCTTCCTTATGTAAAAATTTCAGGACGCTTGGTGAACAAGAAGCAGTTGTCTGATCACCCAGTTGTTACATATAAAGACAGAGTCAACTTGAGAGATTTGGTAAATGAATGCAGAGTTAGCCGAATACTTCATACACAACCTACAGCAATTGCAATATCAAACGATTTTCAGACACACAATGCATAGTGAGTACCTACTTACTGCAAAGTCTGCTACGCATATCACTGGAAACAGTATTTCGTCAAATTTACAGATAGGGTAGCGGAGAATCTTAGGGCAATGACTGACGGGCTGGACAGTGGCCGTCCATGCTACAGAAGGAGTCGAGGTGGTTTACCTTGACTTCTCGAAGATATTTGATGACATTTATCACCGGACTCCTCTTCAAAAGCTTTGAGGTTACGGGATCGATAAAACTATCCTTGGCTTGATTCATTGATTCCTACTCCAACGACGTTTGCCTGTGCAGATTCGTAGCTCCCTGTCCGACTCTATAGAGGTTCATTGTGGCGTGCCTCAAAGCTCGGTACTAAGACCACTGTTGTTCCTCGTGGTCATAGGAAACCTCACAAGGGTGCTGACGTCGAACTTCCTACTCTTTGTGGACGACCACAAGATTTGGCGAGCGATCACCTGGGTAAACGATCACGTAGCACGGCATCGTAATCTAGACAGCTTACGGGTTGTCGACCCAGACCATACTTGAGTTTAACCATGTCAAGTGCGAACTTATGAGCATACGCCACCAGAGCACCTACCAATATCGACTGAAAGAACACGCCCTTCATTGCGCTTCTCATGAAACCTGCCAGGATGCTCAAAGCAGGCGATGGCAGTAAAACTTCCAGCCAACACATGGGTCTACTGCAGTGGGCGTTTGGTTGATTTGATCCTACCTTTGTTTAGCAAATACTAAATGCTTATGTGCGAACATAAGTTGAGTACGCCATTCAGATGTGGCACTTCTGGCAAAAACATGAACGCACTGCTCTTGGGAAGCCACAACGGAGTGCGACAAAAATGTAAGGGGATGGCTCCACCTTCCATACTAGTTAATACTAAAGACTATAAGAGATTTTAGTGAATAAGATTGTCTTTTGCGTAGTGATCACATATTAGTGTAGCAGATCTTTAAGTAGTCTAACCATCCACCCCAACCTATATTGGCACTCGGCCAAAACGCTTTACTGCGAGCACACTAGTTGAAGTTAACCACATGGTATAGCCGGCTGGAATGCCGTGGGAACTTTTTCTCATTTCGTGTATCCAAGCGGTGAGATTGGCATCCGTATTTTTGTAATATCTTCTCCTACATCATCCGAATTCAAAATTCGACTTGATGATGGATTAAACCACGGATTACTACTTGGTTTAACCCAATTCGTTGGGATAAGTGCCAACGGAACCAAACTATGTGCACACGTGAAATTTGCGGTAGTTGGAAATAGTAGAGAATATGCGTAGATCGGGATGTGGATGTGGGTTTTGCACTGCTCTCCGAGCTGAATGATTATTTTACAGACGTTTCGCTGCCAGACTAGGCAACATCCTCAGTGCGCCTTTAAGGTCCTGTTTCTGATTGCATGCATCAGGGTTCCCCTATTATGATCAATGCGCATGCGTTCTTGCAGCACAAGCGTTGAAGTATAAAACCACATGCGCAAAAACGATCCCATTGAATGAATGTTGTCCTATGGCCTGGAGCTTTTAAGCTGTCTGAATGTTACAACGCTCCGTAGGAAGTGCGGGTGTCCAATCTCAGAACGCATCATAGCTGGACTATTCCCAAAGGTTACAGCAGCAACTCCTTAACACGGATAACCTGCTGGCATAAAAATAAAAATAAAATTTTCATCAATTTCCGTTAACTTATTCAATGCCAAAAAGCATTTCGGTTGATCGGGAGACCTAAAGGATGGGGTGTGCAAGATTGCTTTGCCTCAAAGAATTCAAGCACTCGAACGGTAGAAAAACAACTGACCACATGCTTACTACCTTAACATTAGTTATCCCTAACTTTACTTTTACGTCCAATTCTCCTCTTAATTTCGTTTTCAAAGTCTATCTAACGTTCCGACAGTTTGTTCTCATCACTGGATATAAAATTTATCGGGTTGTTATGTAAATAATTTGTAACATTTTGTAATTTTTTTCGTTAATGAATCACCGGAAACTATTGTAGCATTACCAGATTCTCATACAAGATTTACTT